AGGGCGGTGATCCACCTGGGCGACGTGGCAGCCATTCCTTACTCCGCGAGACCCCTCCCCATTCGGCCGCCCACCCGCCCGCCCTCTCGCGGTCGTCAGCTGAGAAGCTGCTTTTCTACAGCTGGACTGAGAGCGGCAGTGTCTCCTCGCTGGGCGCTCGTCGCGCGACTCCCCCCCCCAATCCCGCGACCGCTGGTGTTCGAGGGGCCGAGCGCCGCTCGAGAGAGCGCAGTGGCGGCGGGAAAGGGTTGCAGACCGACCCGCGGCTCGGAGTTGCTCACTGGACGCCACAGCCCCGGTGTCGACGCCAAGAGCAGGTAAAGGCGGCGAGTGGGAAGCAGGACGGCGGGTTCGGGGTGAGGGTCTTGGAGGGAAGGGATCCCAGGGCGCGGAGCCGAAACCCGAAGCCTATGCAGTGGCGGGCTGCGCTGCCACTGAAATCGAAAATCCCAAACGGGGGCTAAGGGGCCCGGCGGGCCCGGCGCCGGCCTCCAGCCCGGCCCGTGCCGCCTGGACGGAGGGGAAGTGAGGCGTCGGCGAGAGGAGGGCCCTGGCGCGCAGCCCGAGGCCGGGCGGGGGCCGCAGCCGCTTCCTCGGCCTCCCAGTGCCTGGCGGGCTTCCGGGTCCCAGACACACCCCTCTTGCCCCTTGGGGCTTTTTTTCCCGATGGGTTCCGGCTGGGGCTTGACCTCGCGCGGGTCCGAGCGTCTTCGGTTTTTCCCTGGCAGAGTCTTTTTGGAACTTTGGCCCACCCTTCCGAGCACGTACTCCTAGCAAAGCCGTTTATTTACTCCTTCAAATCCGAACAGCCGCTTATTCCAGACACGTTCTGATTTTGGATATTGCGGGGAGACATTTGCGCCTCTTCGACCCTGATCCCCATCTTCCTCCCCCATCGCAACTTAGGCCCTCGCTGGAACCCTTCTTGAACCCAGCTGTCATCTGGACCCTCTCCAAAATGTCCTTTTGGAAATCCATTTTCCATGGAGTGAGTCATCTGAGCGGAAGCAGTTTATTCCTTATGCTTTTTTTGATTAAAACAGTCCCCCGCCCCACCCCCGAAAGAGTAATTTTTTAAAAAGTGTAGATGCCAGGTCTAGGTCAGTGTTGTCTTTAAAGAATTTTCTTTTCGGCAACAGTCTTTAAAACTGGGATTTGATATTCGTGGCACCGATAGATTTGTTCATATTCTCTCCATGCAGCGGTTGTAATGTCTCCATAGCACAATTCTGACTTAAAGGCAGGATTGGCTGGTTTTCCTACTCCACATCTTTAAGCCAATCAAGAAGCGAGTCTGGCCTGGAGACTGGTTAACTCAGAGAAGGTGGAGGTTGGTTGAGTTCAGAGAAGACAATCCTAGACATCAACCTGGTCTCTCACAGAACATTGATTTGCAACTGCTCTCTTCCCCCACTTTTTTTTTTAATGTTATTTTTTCATCCCAGCATCAGTCTTTTCGTTCTCGTTTTTATTTCATTGTTTTTCTCTCAAACACCAAGTTCTCTTTTGTAACTCGTTTTAACTCCTATCCTTCAGTTTTCAGTGAAAGAATCCTTACATGCTTGAAATGTAAACATCATGTGTTTTGTGTTTTGATAATCAGCTTTGTTTAATTTCCTTTTTTGATCAGAAATTAAATCAATTTTTAGTTCTTATGCCAGAGCCTTTATTATTTAAGTGGTTGTGCTAGGATGGGGGGCTGCAATGGTGGAGATGGTGTGAAGAATAGGAAAGTAATGGCTGCTTTCCTACAAGGAGGCTGCACTTTAGTTCATGAAAAAAGACTAAGGCATAAAACAAACTCCAGTACGAATCAGCATATAGTATTTGTGAATGTCAATTTGTGTACCTGTTGACTTTAGTTGTTTTGAGGAAAAAAGTAAACAGGATGAGAGTACTGGACTTTGTAGAAAAAGTGGATTTATGATAATTTTTTTTTTTATTAAAGTGGGTATAGTATCTTGTACATAATAGAGGCTAAATATTTTTTTAGTGTAGGTGCATTTTTTAACAGGATTTTTCTTGTTTTAAAACCTGTTTTCATGATTATTATGGTTTTGCATGTCTTTTGATAAGCAAAGCAGTAACCATTTAATAGTTAATGTGAATTTTTAAAAATAGTTACCATCTTTGCTTTCCTTTCTTTCAGCTTTTTATCTGCAAACTTAGTGTCTTGGGAAGAATCTTTGTGAGCTCAAGCATCGAATCTTAACAGATCATTGTTAAATGCCTTTAGAAGTAGTTTATGTTAGGAATTAAAGAGATTGAACTTTTTACTTTTATTTTGTAGTTATTTGATCTTCCTCCCTTTAATCTCCATCCCCCACTTCCACCCCTGACCTATGGATGTTGCGGTTTCTCCTGAAGAGCTGGATCTCTGAAGGCGGGGCATCTCCTTCTACACCCTTGCAGTGTGCACCCGGGGCCTGGCGCACCTGGACCACGTGGCTCCACCTGGGGTGTGAACCCAGGACCTTCTGCGTGTAAAAGCAGATGTGCTAACCACTACACTATGTAGCCACCCATTATTTGATCTTTAATTGAAATATTTTCCTTGGTAGTTCTTAACTAGCTGGGCATTCCACTGCATTACTATCGATGTCATGTATGATGTCATAAGGGTGGCAGCTGTCGACATTGTAGCCCATAGACTGGGCAGTCTCTAAGATCTCTTTAATGGTTCCAGAGAGTTCTCTTGCTAAAGATCGGTGCTGCATCTGTTTGGCAGTGTTGACAGTCTCATCAAAACTGATATTTCCACTGTGCTTAATGTTTTTTGTTTCTTTCTATCTTTCGGCAGTTCTTTGAGGGCTTTGATGATCAAGGCAGGGGCAGAAGGTACTACCTCAATCTGGGCCTGTCTGTTTTGAATGGTTGGTTTCACTGTAATCCTCAGAACCTTCTGATCACCAGTTGCTCTGGCAATGTCATCACCATCGTTTTTTGGAGACAGGACCAGGGGGCTGATCTTGGGGGCAGGGCAGATGTAGGCTGACTCCCCCACTGGTGTACCTCAGGTGGGGTCAAACTTCAGTGGTGTGGTGGAGGCAGCTAATGTTGGATGAACTTGGATTCCGGACGACCGAAGAAAGTTGCACCTTGGCCTCCTGCCAGCCAAAAACCGAAAAAAAAGAAAAAAAATTTGCCATGTGAGGCAGTAAGCCAGATGTCATTAACATCCTTATCGCCCCCATTCTCATAGTAATAAAATGTCTACCTTTTATATATCTGTACAGTAGTCCCCCTTATCTGAAGCTGCAGTTTCTCTGGTTTCAGTTACCCGTGGTCAACTATGGTCCAAAAATATTAAATGGATAATTCTAGAAATAAACAATTTATAAGTTTTAAATTGCATACCTTTCTGAATACCTCACTTCATCTCATCATGTAGGCATTGTATCATCTCACATCACAAGAAAAATGAGTACAATAAGATATTCACGTATCTTTTATCACAGTATATTGTTATAATTCTGTATTATTAATCTGAGCTTAATTTATAAATTAAACTTTGTCATAGGTATGTACATATAGGAAAAGTACATGCTATATATAGGGTTTGGTACTATTTGCAGTGTCAGGCATCCATTGGGGGTTTTGGAATGTATTCCCTTCAGAATAAGGGGGGACTACTGTATTGCTTTGTCACCTGCTTAGTATTTCATTTTCCTTATATAAAGTCATATACAGATTTTAACATTACTCTGAATTTTAATTTATTGAATTTACTTTTAAGTACCTTCCTAGCCACTGTACTAAAGTCTTTAATGTATGCCTAGATGGAAGGTTGGCAGGCTGTTGGGAGAACCTCAGCATTGATTAGATTTCTGGATTTCTAGATTGAGGTTAATCAATTTGTGCTATTCAGAGTCACATAACTTCAGAAATTAAAAGAGCATTTTATTAATTTCCATGAGGAATAAACTGGCTAAGCTAGGTAAGTTTTTGTGACTGTTAGTGGTATTACTGGATCAAAGAACAAACACGTGGCACTTGCCTGAGCACTAGCTCTGGGTATGCGAATTTCACTAAACTTTACTAGACTGATGGTGGGCACTATTTTTCTAAATTTGGATTGTCTGTTCATATCCTTTGATTATCTGTTGGATCTAACTTTTTCTTAAAGCTTTGCGCAAGACCTAAACATATGGTTATGGTTTCTTCTTGAAAGTATTTTTCTCTAGTTTGCTGTTTCAGTTTTTGGTTACTTTTAATTGTCAGAAGTTTAAAATGTTCATATGTGAATCTATCATTCTTTTCCTTTATCATTGCTTCATATATCCAAATTAAGAAATTTCATTGTTCTATAGATGTGATAATCAGTTTTTTCTAATATTTTAAAAACTAACTGTAATCAGAATTTATTTTAGTATAAAGTGTGATGCCACCTTAACTGTTTTACAAATGTTTTCATTTTAACACTATTAATAAATTCTCTTACTTTCTTGTTTTAAGAAAGCCTAGCTTGTTACATACAAATATTGAGATATAGTTGGCACTCTTTTTGGACTCTTGACATTTCATAATCTTCCATCTTTTATTGGCTTTTTTAGCGGTACCACTTAATTTTACTGTTACTTTCATAAGACGCTCAAAAAGTAGGTTGAATTTCCCGGTTTTTTTTTTTTGTTTGTTTGTTTAACAATTATATATGTTCTTTCTTCATTAATTTAAGAATTAGTTTGCGAGACTGACATGAATAATATTTAAATTTTCTGTCTGAAGCAGGGCATCTGCCCTTGAATTTATTGTTTCTTTTGTCTGGAGTATTTTCACTGTTCTCCCTGTTTTCCTCCCCCTAACTGTCTGCTAATCTATTTCAAGATTTAGGTGATATTTATTAGTCTTCCTTTCCCTAGCAGAAATATCACTCTTTGTATTATTTCTAAACCTTTGATGTATTTCCATTATGCACTTTATTGTGAGAAAGGGAAGAATTCCCCATTTCTTCCTGTGGTTCTTTTGGCTGCTTGAATGATCGAATAGACACGAGAGAGATTGACAAGAGAAAATAAAATTTAATTTCATGAGCAGGGGAACTCCACATACATGAGAGGTTCAAAGATAAAAAGAGAAAATGAGGTATATATGACATTCTGAGTTAAGGATGAGAGAAGGCACCTTGGAGTTTCAGAGTATTATTGCAAGATGATAAGAACAAACGTTCAGTAATTAGTAGTTTGCCCTGCCATATAGATAGGTCAGAAGAGGTTATTTTTGATAACCTCTTATCATGGGCAAGTCCCCTACTTCAAATTCTTAGTAGTTAAAGGATGGGGGACAGAAGTTTCTCTTGAGCCTGCAGTGTCTCAGTTGC